AGAGAAAGTACTCTTTTCTATGAAATTCAGCAGACCTCACTGCATTTTGTGGGTAGATGTAGTAACAGTGTAAAGTGTGACACAGAAATCCAAATGTACATGAAAATAGTGAAAGATGCCTTCCAGAAACTAAGCAAAGACATAGAAATATTTCATTAGAAATAAAGAAAAGAATGCTGATCATCTCTGTCTGCCATTACAGGTAATGAAGAAGAAACTCAAAGCTTCAGAGATGTCATTCTCAGCTTTTGTCCCAGTAATGCTACTTCACCCATGACTCGACTCTTCTGGCTCTGTGGCCAACATCACAGGGCCCTTCACTTACTTGCCCATTTGATGCCCTGCAGAGAGCCCAGCCCACTCAGTAACCACTTTGTTTTCTCTAAGAGCTTAACTATATCAAGACATGAAACCAGAAAAAATATCTTCTCATATTAATATCCTCTAACAGCAATACTGTGTTTCCCACTCCATCAATAAAGAAAGCTTTTTTTCAAACTTCTTACTGGATTATTTTAACACTTCTTTCCATTAAAATATGACACTGAAATCCAAAGGTGCATTGGAATAGTGAAAGGTGCCTTTCAGATGCTAGGCAAAGTATCAAGAAACAGAAAACTTTTGTTAGAAACCAAGAAAAGAGTACTGAACTATGATGCAATATCAGTCCTCCTATATAGCAGTGAATATTGGACATTCACAGATGAAGAAGAGACTTGAGGCAACAGAAATGTAGTTCTACAGAAGGATACTGAGAATGCTATGGACTGAACATGGGAGCAACAAAGAAGTTCAAAAGAAAATATGAAACATTCTGATATGTCCCGGAAAGGTATATATTTGATCGAAGTAGCTAAGTGGGTTTGGCTACTGTAACCAAGTAGTACACGGTAGCAGTAATCAACTGGTACTCGTTGTAGTCGCAGGTAATAAGTGTAGACCAATAGAATAGCCAATAGCGTAGTCCAATGGGCATCGTAATAGACTTAAAATTCTGTTGTACTTACATGTCCGTCTGTATTTATGACGGACACCAGCCAATCATATTCCAGTGAGGGGGAACACAGGTGTATACATATTCCATTATATCACATTCATACTTAAAAACACTCATGCTTAAAATCAGAAAGAGAGAATTGAAATTTGTAGAACACATTATAAAGAAGGAAGGTTTAGAAAACTTAATACTCACAGGACATATTGAGAGAAGGAGAGAAAAACAGTGAGCAAGATACTTAATGAGTTTGTGTAAATAGATGGCAGATCAGGGACAAGAAGGGATGGTAAAGAGTCAAATGTTGCTTAGAACATCAAAGAGCTGAAAGTTGTGGAGAGCCACCATCGTCCACGTCCTGAAGGGACATAGAGCCAAACTTGAGTATTAAGATTCTTTAATCTAAAAGATATGGAATCAGTACCATTTTTTTCTCACATAACATTTATTTGTTATTAGCTTAAATGTCACCTTATCAAGTGGCATTTAAGCTAGCTCCTTCGGAGAGCTCAATTGGACCTTCATCACAATAGATAGAAAGGAGTAAATGCAATAGGCAACAATAAACTACAGAAGGACTCTAAATTGATCACTGCATTTAAGTATTGCATTAATATCTAAGCTTGCCTTTTAAAAATTTAACGATAATTCTTCTGCTGCCATTTAATTTAAAGACAATTTTATGTATGTACAAACAATTATTTTTATTTCATGGGTGACTTTTGCTGGATTTCACAATTAATTTCGATTACTCCTAAATTATTTCCTAGTTATAAAAATTGCTAACATACAAAAAAATTTGTCATAAAAAAATCACATAAAAAAAAAACACCAAAAACAATTGCAATAATGAAAATTAGGTAATCCAAAATTTCAGGATTAAGGGTCCAGATCCAGCCTGGGATGTTTTTAATTTGTTCATGGAGTTTCCCTGATTCCAAAATGGTATGCTATGTTGAGCTACAGTCTGTAGGAGTAAAGTTGAAAAAGTGTGACACACTGGCACACTGACATTTGCATTTATTATATAAAGAAGATGGGATATTTAAAAGATAATTTCCCTTTAATTGAAAAAGTGTGACACACTGAAATTTGCATTTATTATTATTATTATTATAATATATATATATATATATATATATATATATATATATATACACACTAAATAAGTGCTTTGCCAACATATCAGGACTATTGTTGTCTTTTATATAATTTATATACAACCTCTTATTTATCGTATATGATTTTTGCAATATAATGAATTCTGACTGACTAGCTACAAAACAATCATATGATTCTCAAAAAAGAATCTATATCTATGACAGCTATTTTGCATTTTAATTACCTTTGAAATAAAAATAAAGACTTACAATCATCAATGCCTTCTCCTCCTTTACCACATTCCTTGTTGAAAAGACGTATGCCTGTACAGATCATGGTAAGCTCCAACAACTGCCGTTCTTTATCTTTCTTTGGTAAAGACATAAACGTTAGCACCTCTGTTTGAGGGAAGATACTTTGTAGAGAAGCTGGTAGCAAAAAAAGAAACATCAGTTATCAGACAGGAATTGAAGAGAATTTAAAGAGAAAATTCAATAAAAAGACAAGAAATGTAGAAAATGGTAAACTAAAATACAAGCAAATATATCTACAAGAAATCTGAATGGGTAGGAGACTTTTCAGTAATTAGTCACATTGGTGTTTTACAACAGCCACAGTCATTTACAAATGAGTTAAAGATGAATTACTTTCTTTTTAGCAAAATGTTTTTGCTACACTTGGCTAATAACAATGGATGTGCTTGTAGCATAACCGTCCTTTGCACAGAAAGCTGGATTGGCATGTTGTGTTTAAATAGCCAAGATTGTTGCATTTGCACAAATACCTTTGGAAAGGTATGAACATATCTCTTCTCTTCCCATACCTGGTACCTGGTTAATAGAAGGACAGGCTGGGCTCTCTAGGTTTGGTTTTCATTTTTTTTTTTTACTAATGTTCACCCATTACAAAGCCCAAGAGCCACTCAAGGTAGAAAGTAGTAGCATTAGGAGTATAGAGCTGAAGCGGACTTTAGAAAGAATCAGAAACCCAATTTAATCAGGAAACAGATAAACCAATATTCCTGTTCAAAAGAATGGGGAGGAGTGTGAATTGGACAAAATTGGAAAAAGTTGAATTTATCTACTCCTATTGGTAGAGCCAAAGAGAATGAAAACTTTGAATTCAAAACCAGTTGGATGTGGGGATAACAATTCTATCCCATAAAAACCTACTGGCTATGAAAACCACACCAGCAACTCCTACCATATTGGGGCTGTGGTTGTATACTCCACATGGGAGTCTACAGGATTAACATCCACATATGCTATTTTTATGATGTGGCAAATTTATCTGAATTTGTGAATAACAATAATCTCAGTGCAATGATTTTGTCTGGAGAGAAATTTGATAATGAATGGAAGAAAATTTTATTTCCTTCCATTGTGCAATACATATACCAACTGACCGACTTACCTACCAGTCTAAATCATGGAGTTATTATGAATTACAGTTGGGATCATGGAGTCATTATAATCCTTTCCATAATAATGTATAATACATGTTTCCCCAGGGATACATATGGTTTTAAATACAGTTGTCTTTCTAGACCAGTTGCCAAACACAGCCAGTCTGCCTTTTATTTAACACATAGCTGTAGCATTGGTGTGTGTGTGTTGTAGTGCGGTGCAGATGGTTGTATACTGTTCTCAAAGATATTTGTGTGAAAGTGAATGCAACGAATGCGACTGGAATTTGAACTCGGCTTGCCTATTTCTTTTTCCGAGTTACTAACCATTAAATTATTTGAACATCATTCTAAATAGCGCATATATGTATTAATTACAATAAATATATTAAATAACATCTAACCGATCCATATTATATCAACAGATCAATCTTCGACTGTGTATTTTGGTCTGGAAATTACACCATATAGTATTTTTCTTACTTCAAACGCCCCATTTTTTACAGTGTGTATTTTACGCCTATCGACCTGCACATTCGAGAATTCTAAAGAAAATGCGTTCCCGAGAGTGATCGAACCTGTGTTTCCTTTTGTAGGGGGAAACACCAGTGAACAGGCTGATAGATGTATTACACACTGTTTAAACAAAAATACTCCATTATAATAACGTTTAAAGTAATAAAAATGTCGGATAAAAATAAATCTATTAAATTTCTTCAGAAATTAATATGCGGTGTATAGGAGATAACTTTGTCAAACATTAAAAGAGTTATCTTTCTTAATCTTATCGAGAGCTCCCTTTAATTTTTAATCTATATCTCTGAAACAAAAAATCTCCACATTTACCAGAAGAAATAAAAAAAACAATTGCATTCATTTACTAACTCGTTAGTCGTTTAGATATTAGATACTTGTTTGATTTTGGTTCAAATTAATTTTTCCTTTTTGACTGAAGTTTTATCGTACCACTTTCATAAAAAAGAATTTCAGTTTGAAGTTTTCTTTAACATAAAGAATTTAAAAACTACGTTATTAATAATAAAATTATTCTGCTGCGTCAATGTTTTTGAAAAACGACGAATTTTAATGCAAAATATTTTACCTTCATTATTTTTTGCTTCACTTTTCAGAAAAACATAGGTGTAAATTTAATTTATTGAGTTATCTCCCCTAGTCTCGTAAACCGCTTGATTCACAATAGCATTTTAATTTTACATACATTTTGAATTTTTTTATTTTCTTATTAAATGAAGTATTGTTAACCATTATTCATTTTTTTATATTAATATGTACTTTCATCTTGGTTTTTAACTGCTTTTTATCATTCGGGCAGTCAATTCTATGGTACACAAGAGGACATGAATTTGACTCCCACCAAAATCCTTTATTTCTGGATCTACACTCTCTACTTTCAACCATAGAATAAAGTGATAAAATGCAAACAAATTTGTTTATTCATTTTTTGTTTTTATGCAACTCTTTTTTTTTTTCTCAACAAAAAGTAAATAAATGCAATGAATACATGAAGGAGAAATGTTATTTTTATTTCCACACAGCAAATAATCTGTGAAGTCTGCTAAATCACGGTACCAGTCAAAAAGCTTGTTCATTTATATTCTCCCTGCTAATCAGTTTAAACATATACAAGTATATCTGGATGTTTACCAGAGAAAATAAAGCTTTTTGAGACTGTTAAAGGTGCCAAGGTTTTATAATTTTTTCCTGAATTAGCTGAACTTAGATCATAATGTGTTGTTTTTTGTTGAACTACAATTTGACCTGTGCATTCTCCAATTTTCTTAGATTTATTTTCCAAACAGAATCCTCACTTGGATCCTGAGGTGACTAATTTGCATAGGAAGTCACAAAGAATATAAATAACTATGGCTATTACCCATGAGGCAGTTGAGTGCATACTACTTCCTGTGAGTCAGTAACATTACATTATAATGGTGCTGTCAATATCTAAAAAAAAAATGAACAAACAATTATCCCTGGATAATTATGAGTACACACAAGCATGTCTTATGATACTAGCATCTAAAGCTAGAACAAAAAGCTAGACTTTCATATGGATGTCATGCATGGCACCACACTCATTCAGAAATATCTAAACTGTCAGTTTTATACAACTGCTTTTTCAGATCAATGGTTAAAAATGGCTTTCAGCAAATGATTCCTGTAGGTGTTAGTGAGTACCATCCTTCTTCGAACCTTGTGGATCGGCACTACAATATCACAAACAACTGTACCAAATAACAGAAAGCACATCACTTAAGGACTTTCAACTGCAGCCACACCTTAGATGGCACATTTTCCTTTTCTTGAAGGAAATATAATGACATAATCAAGACTATTCCCCATTCCACACTATTTCATACAAAGGCTTGGGAAGAAAGCTCCTCCATCAATACTGAAAAGAACAATAAGAGCTAGTGGACTTGAGAAAAACTTTTTTCCAGCAAATTTGTTTTAAGAGAGAAATTTTATAAATTTCAATCAAAAGTAGTGCAGGCTGTTTGATCAATGAATGTTGGATGTTTCTTTATAAGGAAACAACTAATATTACCATTACTATAATACACTTTTGAATTAATCCTAATGTAAGTAGCCCCTAGAAACAAAAAGGAAAATCATTTCTGTAAACATTTAAAAATAAATCAAACTTTAGCTGATCACATGCTATTTATGATAATTTGGTGAGTGAATACATGAAAATTAAATAAGTGCACGGGGGTCAGAAGTGGTTACACTATGCTTGGGAACCATAATGAAGGGCAATAAGGTTCCACAAACACAACACAAATGAAAGCGAGCAAATGCACAACAATCCAGTATGGCAAACAATCACGAAACAAGATTAATGGAGATTGCATCATAACCATGAATTGTCATGGGTTAGGATTGTCATAACTCAGGGACTAACTGTAATATTGATTTTCTAATAGACATGAATGTTTTCTTCTTACACTTTTATGGAGTTAGAATAAATTTGTAAAAAGAAAAAATTTAAATGCAGTAATTATCAAAATATAATAATATTGTATGTGGTGGATTCAGAAAACTTTAAAAAACGAACCCACCATGTTATGAAAAAACAAAAAACATCACAGATTTCCCAAGAAAGGATAATTCTTAAGTATCATAAATCCAGTTCTATTTAATACAGCAACAACAATGAAAAAATAGGTAAACATGGACTTTTGTGTCTGCAAAAAACAAATGTCAAAAGGACAGTTTTTCCATTGACACCCCCATTATTTTAACTACATTCATTCCTCAGCAATGTTTATTGTTTTAAAAAGTGAAGATTAGAATTGTGATAAAAAACCTAAATATATGAAAATAAATTTATATATTTTATTTGTTGTTGAGAATTGACAAAAAAATTAATAAACACTATTTATTTATTAGATTGTATATTGACAATATTTATTATATTATTTATTGGAATGGTTGGCAAAACATCAGCTGAATGCTAATTGATTTGAACTTTATAAAATGGTAAATAATAAGGATTTCCATATAATTAGTTTACATATTTTAATAATTTACTAAATGATTATAAATTAATGTATAAAGAATTTTCATATCTATTTCTTTATAAATTGGTAAATGATAAATATTGCATTGCATTAGTTTTAATTGTATTAGTTTTTATAATGTAAATATAATATAAATTTATTCTTGTAAAAAAACATCCTTGATGCAAAAAAGTAACCAGCAAGTCATTTCACTCTTCTGCCTTGAATGTCACCATGAACCACAATTGTGAGATGGAGGGGTGTGGCAGCCACAACAGTGCAAAATACACTGAGTAAATGAATGAATGAATTATACAAAGATAAATTACATTCACAGATTAATGGAAAGTGGCCCAGATTGAAGAATAAGGAGAGCAGAGTTCATTACATGCTAATAATACCCTTGGGAAAATATGAATCCATCTGTTCCTCCCAGCTATAGGTAAAATAGCAAGACAGACTGGGACCTATAGCTTTCATTGGCTAGGAGTCTAGGAGAATGAAAAACTCTAAATTCAAACCACCTGCTGCTTTGTAGGTCTTGCCTCTTTAACTGGAGTGGAGGGACCAGTAGCCTCAACATCCTCAATGCTAAAGTAACCAGTAAGCCATTGAATGTCACCATGAACCACAATTGTGAGCTGGAGGAAAGTAGTGACCACAGCAGTGGTTCAAAAATGTGCTAACTGAATAAAATGAATGAAGGAATAACATCTTCAGTGTTCCTCTTGATATATAATTATAACTGGTGTTTTTGTTTTTATTTTCATAATATATAATTGCATCAATAAGAATATATTTTAGTCTAATGAAGTCCTTTTGAAGGACAAAATATGTTACATATGATTTTTCCATTTTATCATCCAATTACCTACCATTAATCTGATATATAGAGTTTAAATATATTTCTCTCACAGATCATTTTATATTAAAAACATCTTCTATATCCCTCTTTTCAATTACCTATTTTCTGTAGGAAACCACCACAGTTTTCTAACATAATTAAAAATTACTTGTTTGAATCCTGCAGTGTTAACTCTACCATGTTGTAATGATAATAATAATGAGAATTATTTCCTTTAATGCAAGATAAAAGTCTATATTGTCACCAAACCAACCTGTAGCTTCTCTGACAACTGAAATATCAGTTGGGCTGCCCAATCCAGATCGAAGTAAAACTGCAGTTACAATCTTTCGATAAAGTGTCTCAATTTCTTCCCGGGTCTGGGCTCGAGTGTCAGTAATTTCTCTTATCACTGGGTGCAGACGTGATTCTAGTACTCGACGATGCTCCTCCAAGAACAGACCTGTAAAAACAATCATAGAATTTTTACTTCTCAAAATAACTGTTAGCTAGAAAGACCTGTGAAAATTTCATGGTTTTCCTATTTTAAATTTCTGATGAATCTTAATTCTTCAGGTAATGATTGATTAAGCTCATAGTGAGTTCTATGGCAATATAAAATATCTGTAGAAGTTCCCCTATCACTTTGTTATATATTTGAGCTTAACAACAAAATATTGCAATAACAATCATAAATTTGAATGCTGATTATTATTTTAGGCAGTGTATACAAATGAAAAGATTTGAAATTGACAAGCTTTTCCATTTCATAGAAACAGATTTTAAACACTTCTATCTTCCTTTCTTTCTTTCTTTCTTTCTTTCATGCAATTAAAACGGATTAGTCCATTATTTATGAGGTATTGGTAGGAGATATTAAGTACATCAATCTTACCTTCTTTCTAGCCAAATCCTCATTTTACGAACATTTCTCTTAATAATAGTTTTAAAATAATTCAGCAGACGATGTTTATTTTAATTAATGTATGATAACTGGATTTTTGACAATTGCTTACTCGGTTTCTGTCATCTGATACTGTGCATCTGAAAAATGGTGCTTTTATTGTTCCTCAGCCTTTTGATTGAGATCAAAATGTAGTATCTGTTTTATCAGCTTAATATGACTCTCTCTCTCTCTCTCTCTCTCTCTCTCTCTCTCTCTCTCTCTCTCTCTCTCTCTCTCCACTTATATCTTCCCTTCCTTTTTTTTTTTTTTTCATTTTCTCACTCAAACCAAGTAAGGGCTTTCCCACTCTTTTGATGAGAGCAAAATGTTCATTTTAGCAGGGTGTAGCAGCATGCAAACTAAAGAAGGAAAGGACAAACACAATTATAATAGGAGAAAAATTGGTTAATTAAGATTCACAAAGCTAGACACAGTATTTCTTTTACATTCTTAATGGTTGGTGGACTGTTTCTGGAGAGAATATTTTGGATTGGTTTTAAAGATTATTTTCATAACATTCTAAACTTTGCTTTTATCACATTTCAGCCAGTGAACTTGCAACTCCTCCAGCCAATCTATCCGCCCAATGGCAGTGTATTGTTTCTTCATTCAAGTAGCATACTCTTGGACTGAACTTAAAACTTCAAGGAATTATAAAAAAAAATTAACAGAAGGTACCAGAATACACAGGCCAAATCTTTTCAAGATGAAAATGCAAATCTTTAACAAATCATTGAATTATATCTTTTTCAGAAATTCAGACTGCAATTATCAATTTCGAGGTTACCAAAGATAATTTTAAATCAATAAAGCTTAATCTTTTTTCATTTCTTTATCTTTTCTGTGTCATGCTCCCACAGAATGTATGGTGATCACTACTCTCCATAACTTCCTGTCCTTTGTAGCTCTAAGCAACATTTGTCCCTGTTAACATCTCTCCTAGTCCATAGTTTGCCATCCATTTACAAGAACTCGTTAGGTAGGTTATTCACTGTTTCCCTCTGCCCATCTTGCCTTCAATATATCCTGTTTAAATTCTATAAAATCTCCTTCCCTGTGTGCACCAGAAATTTCAATTGTCTCTTCCTGATTCTAAATATAAGTGTCTTTTTCATTTCAATTTTCCTTAAAACTTCCTTGTTGTTAAATTGTTCTGTCCACCATATTCTCAACATCACCCTGTAGAACAATATTACTCTTGCCTCAAGTCTCTTCTTCATTGTCCAAATTGTTCAAATATTCAACATCATTAACTGCTATATATAATATTTATATAGTATTTCAGCACCATTTTCTTTGTTTCTAATGAAATTATAATTATTTTAATACTTTGTTTATCTGCTGGAAAACATTGTTTGCTATTCCAATGTTCATTCCAATCTGTATCATGTTTTCCATTATCTGTTATAACACTAAATAGCAAGTTAAAATTCTGTACTTACTTGATTTTGAAATCTCCAATTCATAGCACACACTTTAGGTTGTTCATCTTGATGACAACCATACATTTTGTCTTTTTGTAGTTAATAGTCCTTTCTTCTTACTTTTCTTTGACTTTACTCTTTATGTATTCTTGAAGATTATTTTCTGATTCTGTCATCTGCATATTTTATGTTGTTAAGATTGTGCCCACTGATAATAAATCCTTACTGTAATGATTAAATAAATCCAGCCAGAAAAAGCCTACCTATCTCTGCCTTCTATTTCTGTTTACTTGTTCAGCTCATTTATGGCCCACATGCAGGTGGTTTGTTGCCAGTAAAGGTTCCAGCTTGTACACAATTTCTGCTAAATTGTCTAACAATTCTTTTTTATTTTCAGATTCTCAGTGCTTCATTTGTCCACATATGAAAGAGGTGGCACTAACACCCCCCCACACACACACACACCAATATCATCAGAAGTTTCTACAGGTCAATTTAGGGCCAAAACTGACATTTTAAATCTGGTCTGCTTAATACTCATTTAAAAATGCCTTATTAAATAAATGAGCAATCTCAACTTACAAATGGAAACTTTTTCTTGTCATGAATTTGAATACATACATTAATTTATATTTGGATGTGAGCATAGAATAACAGTTATTAGCACAAAAAATGGGATTGGCATGTTGAGTTCAAATTCCAGCTGTGGCAGTTGTATTTGCTTTTACACAAATACTCTTGGAGAAATTATGAATACATGTGGGGATAACCTCCATTTGGTTTGCCAAAATGCCACTAGGCAGTACTGTTTCAGGACTCTAGTGAAAAGTGTGGGAGAAAAAACTATTGCCATAAAACTTAAAGTTACAACTAGTAATTTCAAAATTTCAACAGTGAAATTAAGAGACCTAGCTGCTGATCTAGTACTTGAAACATTTCAACTGCATTAACCAATTGTTGGAATGTTTTAATGATGATCAGAGACAATTTCAAAATACATTTACTCACTAGATGGAGTTTGCCTTAATCAAGTGACAGAACAAAGAGACTTGAGTATTCTAGTTTCACTTGATTGTCTCCAAGATCACATATTCCTGAAATCGTAAGAAAGGCTAATCAAAGAATTAAGTATATTTAATTGTTGCTTTATGAATCTTACTTCAAAAAAAGGAAAAACACTGCATTTATTCAACCAGTACTCAAAAATGGGGCTGCTATCTGGAGTCCAAACTATGAAAAAATATTGACTTATTGCAATTTGCCCAGCCTAGCTACAGGCGAAATCAAGCTACCTTCCCATCAGTGAAGATGCCAGTTCACTGATCTGTGTTAGGTATTCAAATTATAAAATGGAAGTGAACAATTTCTTCACATTCTCAAATAGGAAGATGCTTGGTTGCTCATACAAATTGATGAAACATCACTGAAAAATAGTTGCAAGATCCACCTTCTTTGCCCTGAGTGTGATAGACAAGTGAAACTCTTTACCTAGGAATGTGAACACACAAACACTGCACTTTTTCAAAAAGAAACCGATCCTGATCAAATGAGCTGAAGTACTATTGGCTAAAAAATTCTAATTCTATGCTGCTAAAATCTGTGAAGCTAAGGTATTAGGGAAATGAAACAAAAAACTTTAGTTTGCATTATTTCAAGGATATGACCCCAAAATGGCTATCTATAGACCTCTTCTAATATAAATCAATCAAAAACTGATAATTAATAATCCTAAATACTTACTTCTGGATGTGTAATTCATATCAAAATACACTTGCATCTTGATAGTGTCAAGTGATGGGGATTTGGTGTCCAAAATACTGGACACACACAGCTGAAAAAAAGGAGAAATAATGAATTTTGCTTCTAAAGAGTAAGACTGAAATTTTTAAGAGAACAGCTCCATATTGTAAGTTGATACCAATGAAGATAACTGTTAAAATTATGTGAAAGAAATGCAAAACACAGCAGCTGTCTGTATGCATAAGTAAACACATCATATATAAATATATAAGGCATAAAGAAATCATATATATATATATATATATATATATATATGACTTATTTTCTGATATTTTTTTACTTTCATTTTGCAGACATAGATTTACTTGTCAGGGTAAGAAACTTGAACATCAGAAAATAAGACATTTAATTTTTTACTTATCTACTCACTATATATATATATATATATATATATATAGAGAGAGAGAGAGATATTGGTTACACAACCACTACATTATTCTACTAATCAATTTGCCATTTATCCAATAAAGCTTCAATTATATCACACACCAATCAACAACAAATCTGACAATTCTTTACCAATAACAGAGAAATACTATATCACATAAATTGTAAAAAACAACTACAGAAGCTTATAAGCATTAAACATAAAAAAACAAACCAGCATCAATAAAATGTAATCAAATTTAGAAACAAGTATACTAAGTAAAAAAAATAACATGGCAGCATGAACTGACACGTAAAGACATGATACTTAAAAAGACCAGTATGGCATGTGAAGACATGATATTTGAAAATGATGAGACTGATACAACACAAAAATTATTTGAAAATACCTCATAAAAGCTGGAAGTAATCAGACATTGAACACTTTCTAGATAATCTTCCACCAGAAAAGAAAGAAAATGATCCAAAATATAGAAAAATAAATAAAAAATCTTAACAAAGAAATTTCATTGGTATTTACACAAATTTGTATAATATACATACATATATATATATATATATATATATATATATATATATATATATATATATATATATATATATATATACACACATGATTTTTTTTTGTTTTTTGTACACTACTTACCAAAACAGAAATCATGGTTCTTTTCAAAAAAGAATAATAAAAAAGAAAATGTTTGCAAAGCAAACATGCAACATTTGGTTTAAGATTGAGAAAAATTTAAGCTAATAACAGCAATATTTACAAATTTCTTGTATTTTTTATTTTCTATTTTTTTGATAGGTTTTATCTGAAGCAAAAAGCTAAGCTAATGACACTGTCTCTCTGTTGATTAAAATGTATGACTTTTCTTTAGACTCTCTCCATAACATGTGAAGCATTAACTTAGAACTACCTCCTGGCAAGAATTTCAATCTTATTCAAAGATTAAATTGAAAAAACATAAATGCTGGCATACAATATTTCTTTATGTAAAATGATTTAACCAAAACAAATTTCTATTTTATTCATCTCTCCCTCTCTCTCTCTCTCTATATATATATTATATACATGCACCTTGGGAAGATTTTGGCATATAGTAAAAGTGCTAGAATAAAATGATCAGAAGTAAATTTATAAAAAAAAAAGAAGCAAATAAGGTTGGTAGTGTGGATTATCCCACTTGACTTTGCCAAAAAGTCATCACTAGGAGGCACTCCTTAAGCCTATAAAAAGACAGGCATTTTTCTCCCAAGCTACTTTACTCTTTTACAACATTTTAACTCTGGCTATAAGACGTAGTTCGTATGTGGGTAAAGTGTTCCCTACTGGGGCACATTCATTTTCATGGTTTTCTCTCTTGACTTTTGTACTTTCTTATACACACACACACACACACACACACACACACACACACACACACACACACACACACACACACACTTATTATAACTATTTTCATGTTTTTCCTTTCATCATATGTAATTCCTTGTGTTAATACATTCATTGTTATTTGTTTTATATTTATTGTTTTGTGTTAACCATTTTTGACTTGAACTCACATTGAGTCAACCAATATTGTTTGTGGGATAAATTTTTCAGGAGCTCATGAATATTTACTATCCAAAGTAATGATTCCTGCAACATAATGGTGCCTAAATATTTACCCAAACTTGCAAGCATATCTCAAAACTGTAATGTCATATCAACAAAAGAGCTGATATTTATTTTGAATACAAAAAAAATAGTCATCTTAGGAAAAATCAAAGTTGTGATACATGTAAGACCAAACATTTATGTGTCTATACTGAAAACTCAAAACCCAAATGGCAAAACTGAATCCATATATATTGGTTGGTTGGTCACTAGATTTAAGAGAATTTAAGATACAGTGAGACCCGGATATAAGAGAGATTTTCTCTGGTCCCAAATTAGAGCCTGTATTAACGTAAATAAAATAGACCAAACCCGAAAAAATCAGAAAAATTATATTTAGTGAATTTAAGAAACTAAACTTAAAGATAACTGTCTCTTCTAATTTGAAAAGGGTTAACTTCCTCGACGTAACTCTAGACTTACCAGACAATACATACCAACCTTATAGAAAACCAAATGCTAACCCTTTATACATACACCCGAAGTCAAACCATCCTCCATCAATAATTAAACATATACCCTCATCAATAGAAAATAGAATTAGCCTTAACTCCGCAAACAGGGAAATATTCCAAAAACATAATAGCTTCTATAACACTGCCCTAAAAATAGTGGCTATAAAAATGCTAACATTAACTACAGAAAAATTGCACTGGACATGGGAAAAAAAAAACAGGAAAAGAAATATCATATGGTACACCCTCCGTTCAACCAAAGGGGTTAGTATTAAACTAGGACAGAAATTCTTAGCTCTAATTAATAAACACTTCCCAACCAATAGTAAAGCTTAGTAATATATTCAATAAGAACACCCTAAAATTAAGCTACAGTTGCTCTGATAATCTTGAACGCATATAATAAAAACACAATAATAAGATCTTGAACAAACCCCATGCCAAAACAGTATTAATAAAAACTCTACACTAAAATCAGATGATAATAGGGAAAAATTATGTAACTGTAGAAACCCAGAAGACTGCCCATTAGAAAATAAATGTTGTATTAATTCTGTGGTATACCAATGCACTATTTCATCCACAGAGAGACCTAGCACTAATATGATATACATTGGGTCCACGAAGAATAATTTTAAAGATAGATGGAGGCAGCATAAGTGCTCCTTTAATAATATAAACAAAAAAACCAGACTTCACTATCAAAATATTTTTGGCACTTGAAGAAACAAATAAGACACCAAAAGTTAAATGGAAAATTATTGACAAGGCTAGAATATGTAAAGCTTGGGATGACCCATGCCCTTTGTGCCTCCATGAAAAAATTGCACATTATTAAACTTCTAAATAATAATAATCTATTAAATAATAGACACGAGTTAACGGTTTTTTGTAGGCATCATCAGATTTTTGGTTTGAAATAAAAAAATTTATATAACTTGTTTAACAAATAGCCCAATCATCAGATTCATAGTAGAAATTATTAACTACAAACCTGCATACAACATAACACTCTTCATAATCCATAGCCCAAATTAGTAGTTTAAATACCTTACATAAAAGATAACCCTTTATGAAGTCGTCAAAAAACAAACGTTACGAAAGTTTTTCTTTTTATATGCACAATTCCCTTTCATAATAAAATAAAATAAAATAAAATAAATAAATCTCCATAGACAAGCCAACTTGACGAAAGCTTATTACATCTTCGTTTCATTTTTGACACCCTCACCTTTCCCCGACTTGACACCTTGAAAGTATCTCTATACCGCTACTTATCATTAACACCCTACACTCGCCTACCCATTTTAGACAATTCGCCCTAGCTGTTACCATGGAGATTTTGATTTCAATTTTTAAAACAAGTAAATTTCAGATATACGTTATTCCAACAAAAATTTCGCTGGAAGATGGAACGGAGCCCTTTTTAATTTCAACTCAATTTAATTTAAAGGATTATATTGAAGTTTTCGGCTCTTGTTTTGAAACATTAGACCTCTTATGTAGCGTTTTGGAATCATATTTTTAAAATAAATAATTATATATATATATATATATATATATATATATATATATAAGAGAGAGAAATAAACATAGAAAAATGTTAGTTTCAACCTCATGAGATTCTTTTTTGAAATTCACTTGAAGCATCTGATAGTCACCATGCAGTGTTAATTCCTCTATCCATACTGTATCTATAAATATTGTAACTCTGGTATTGAGCAGCATTCTTATATATATATATATATATATATATATATATATATATATATATATATATATATATATATATATATATATATATATATATATATATATATATATATATATAATATCGCACATTGTGTGCTGATGTTAATTAAATAGTGCAGAATGTAATATAAGAGAGATATAAACTATAGATTAGTAAATATACATATTTTCCTCACCAGTACCATGACTCAGAGTTTCATACACAACACAATCTTTAGATGGTGAGTTAAGACTGACTGTTGCATAATTTAAATTTTGTTAAATATATCTGGTTAAATATATATATTTAACAAAATTTAAATTATGTAACAGTCAGTTTTAACTCAGCACCTGAACACTGTGTTGTGTATAAAACAATGGATTATGCTAGCCAAGGGGAAAATATATATATTTAATAATATATAGTATGATATATATATATATATATATATATATATATATATATATATATATATATATATATATATATATTTATTAAAGACATTTTTATGTTTAATGTTTTTTTTTATAGATACAAGTATTTAAGTAAATGCTCTGTTTATAATAAACAGTATTAAATAACATTTACCGGCCTGAATGTCCGAGAAATTTTCATAGAAAATATTCGTCCTTTTCTATGAAAAAATTTCTCGGACATTCAGGCCGGTAAATGTTATTTAATAGTTTATTTAGCATTTATTTAAATACTTGTATCTATAAAAAAAGAACGTTAAACATAAAAATGTCTTTAATAAATAAATTGTCGGACTTTGTCCATTTCTTAATATATATATATATATATATATATATATATATATATATATATATATATATATATTATGCAGCAGTTGTTCTCAAATATGTATTGTTAAAAAAATCGATCTTTTATATTTACTATATTTAATGATCTTTTTTCTAGTGTACAAATATCCTTTTAGAAATGTGATTGATGTGTGTGGATAAATTGGCCATAATTCATGTTGTGTAATCCAACCTTTCAACTTTTGTGAGTTGTTACCAGAGAGTGTGAGTGAGAAAAGAAACATCTTTGTCTTAAGAAGTAGATTAACTCATTATTTTTGAAAATGTCATTATTTTTGAAAAACTTAAATCAAATGCAACTTGACACAGCAAGTCATGTGATACCAAAATATAATAACATCTTTGGAATATTTTTTTTATTTATTTGGGTTTGAAATAATATTTAAAAAATATATTATTGCAAACACATTATTTAATATAGTAATAAGGGTTATGACAATCCCAACCTATGATTATTCATGCTTATGATGCAATCTCCATTAATCTTGTTTCTACTTATGGAGTTTGTCTTGTACATAAGATGATATGGGTCACTTCCTGCTTATACACCATAATGTGTTGCTATGTCCTCGATTATTACTTAACTGTCATGCTAGCATAGGTAAGTGACATAAGTGCTTATTCAACTTACATGAAAAATAATGTTACAATACATAGTAAGAACAGAACTCTGTCGTAAGTTGAGGACCTTCTGTGTTACAATCATGTTAGTATATATATATATATATATATATATATATATATATATATATCAACACACATAATATATATCGAGAGAAAGAGTGAAATTTACATATATACAATATATATTTATAAATATTAATGTATATCCAGTATTTTTTCCTCACTCACTTTTTTCTCTCTCTTCATGCACATGAATAAGTATGTGTGCATATATATAAATACATACACACATTAAGCATAATAAACAACCCAACATCAATCAAATGTTATCAAATGTAATATTTAAACAAAATCCAAACTGTCCTTCATCAACTCTCATAGACTGGCACTACAGAATCAGAAAGAATTTTATCAACTATTAGACCCCACATAACCTGAAGACAAAACAGCAACAACTGAAATGGATAACAAATGTAACTCAAAAAGAAAATAAGGACATAATCAAGGTGTTGACTTTCTGCACCACCTTAAATAAAAGGTTAGGATGGAAACCTTCTATCAATGCTGGTAAGAGTAATAACGGTGAGCTTGAAAAACCTATTTTCCTGAAAAATTTGTTTTACCATTAAGATTTTATGAATTTCAACTAACAGTAATACTATTATGTAATTGAATGCTGAATGTTTCCATATAAGGGAATCACTAATTTCACTATTATTATCATTACCATTTAGTGTTTACAACTGAGTGTAGAAAAGATGTCTTCTCCAGAATCTTCTCATTATTCCTTGGTCAACCAGTACACATTTGTAAAAAGGGAGAGAATTTTTATTTTCTATGTAATCTTTCTTTACATACCTTTTGTCTCCCTTGCAAGCGATATTAATATTTATAACAATACCAACGAGTTTGATTTTGCAATTTTTCTTTTCGTTTCATTGACTGAGGAAACAGATTTGAATCCATTTTGGAATGATAACTTTTGCCAACAAATCTGATTTTTATCACTCAACCATTGCACAATAACAACTTCTGATGATTACAATAGGACCTAACTAAAATCCTTTCACTATTATTTTTAAACTAAACATGTGCAATAAATACAGATATTGTATATTCTTACCTTGATTAATGTCTGCACATCCTCTTTGGTAAGTGTCCGGTCAACATTGAAGCCACTGTTAGGATTTAAAACAATGGCTTTTACCTTAAAAAGTCACAAAATATAAAGCCATTTTAGTCATATTTACAAGCTTAACTGAAGAAAATGAACAAAACAGAAAATAATAAAAGAAATAAACAATTATAAACAAAAAGAAATTATTAAACAAAATAAGAAAAAACAAAAATTCACCCATCCTCAAATTTTAGACAGATGGTTGTTTTCTTTTTTCAATTAATACCTTTTCTACATTTAACAACTCTTATGGGGAAATTAAAAATTTAAATTCATGAAATAAATAAATAATTATTAAATTTTAATCTACTGAAAATTTTTTATGCTATTTAAATTATCTTTTACCTAATTTACATTTGCATTTTACAGAATTGTTCTAAGTTATTGTAATGACCCCACCCCAAAAAAGAAAAAGTGCTAAAATTTGTATAAATGACATCATTAATGACCAACAGAATAACTGAAGAAATTCTAGAATATTGATGCAGTCTCTCAATAAAATATAAATAAATAATAATTTAACAATTTGTATTCACTTTCATTTATTAGGCAATAACTTATATCACTTAGCATCCTTCATAGTTTACCTTCCCTTACACAGCAAGCTCTAAGTATATTTTAGAGTGTTCTCAAATTCAAAATTTGAATGCTCAATGATATTTTTCTCCCATGTTACTTCTGTGTATGTTACAAAATAAAATATCTACATTTACCTTGATAAAGTTCCTTGGAGGATGAAATGCATTAGTAAAGAAAAAATTTCCTTTTGTATTTTATTCATGCAGTCTCTTGCTCTAATTTTGTTTTACTAAAGTCCACTTAATAGAAGGCCCAAAAGGTACTCAAGGTAGAGGGTTATTGAATGAGGAAGTAAGAAGTTCATATTATGAGGATATGTAGGAGAGATAATAAATGACCCTAGACTTGAAGAGCTTAAGGTTGTAGCATTTGGCAAATCATCCACATAGGAGCCTGATTTATAAAATAGAAGCTTTCTGAGTGGAACATCTTTCTTACCAAAGGAATCCACATGGAATTAGTGAATCAACCCTGAGGATGTAGTAAGGTGGGTCTTGGCTGCAAAAGTCTGAGCTTGTGCCACTAAAGAATGAAGCTTGTCTGAACAGTTGCCATAGAAATAGTGTCTGTAGTAATGAGGCTATGTCTGAAAATAAATCATTCCTCACAAGGTCACATAAATGACTTTAGAACTGACTCAAATCTCAAAAGTGATGGTTGAGCAACTCCTGTCCAGATATGGTAGCAATACTTCATTTTTGATCTGATCTGACTTTTATAAAAATAAAGTATGGCAGGAGTTAGGTACTTTATGGAGTGGTATAAGGAGTCAACACTTTTAATGGCCTTCTTCTTCTATGTGCTGTGTCCCTTCAGGACGTGGACGATCATGGTTCTCCACAGTTTCTTGCCTTTTTACTATCTCTCAAATCCCTGTTCTACCAACTATTTACACAAGCACATTAGCTAGGTTATGTGCTACTTCCCTCTGTCCCTTTTGCCTTCAATATGTTCTGTGAGTGTTAATTTTCTAAGCCCTCTTTCCTCATTATCTGCTTTAGAAATTTCAACTATCTTTTTCTGATGTTATGTATGTGTCCATTTTGTTTTCATTTTGTCTAAAACTTCATTGCTCACATGTTCAGTCCATTGTATTCTCAGTATTCTTCTGTAGAGCCATATTTCTTTTGCCTCAAGTCTCTTCTTCATCTGTGAGTAGATTGTCAACATTCACTGTCATATAGGAGGACTGATATTGCATAACAGTTCAGTACTCTTTTCTTGGTTTCTAACAAAATTTTCTTGTTTCTTGATACTTTACTTAGCATTTGAAAGGCATCTTTCACTATCCCAATGCAGATTTGGATTTCAGTGTCATATTTTAATGTTAAGAAGTGTTAAAATAATCCAGTAAGAAATTTGAAAAGAAGCTTTCTTTATCAATGGAGTGGGAAACAGTATTGATGTGGTCTTAAATAAAGTAGCAATAATTATTTTAACAAATAATATAAAATTTTTTAAGTTCATCTCTAAAGATGTTGTAAAATGAAATGGATACTTCTGAGTGGGAATCAATTTACATTTGGTTGCTGGAGAGAGGAAGACATATAAGTGCTGTAAGTGTGTGTAGTTAATTTGCAAGGTTAAATGTTGACACTTTCTGACTGACTGGCCTCTGTGTTCAATGAGAGGGTGTATGCATGTGTATGTATATGGATGTGTGCACATGCATGTATAACAGTGTTGGAGATACAAACAAGCTTGACACTGATTAAAATAGTGGTAATCATTCCTTATGTAAGAGTTAGGTTAATTTTTTGAGAGTCAAAATAAAGCATTCTGACTGGTCAATAAGGTTTTTTTCTTTTCAAACTGTAGCAACTTATCCAAATGTTGTTGACTGAATCTTTTGAAGTTGTAGGTTATCCCACTTGACTTTCCTAAAAACAAAAGGTCCCTAGGGGACATGACTTAAGCCTATAAAAACTCATTCATTTTTCTCCCTAGTCTTTTTCCTCTTTTACAACACTGGCTATAAGGTGTAGATACATGTGGGGAAGAAAGATTCAATGTCTTACTTTTCTTTCATAACTTTTTGTACTCTTTCACATACATTTTTTTTTTTTTTTAAGCATTACGCCTCAAGCAAGGCGTGAAGCCACTAGGATGCAGGGGGTTGCAAAAGATTTGGAGTGAGAGCAGATAGGAGTGATAGAAGAAAGGATGAGGAGAAGGATAGTGGGTAGATCAAGGTAACTGGAGATGTCGATTGACATTACATTTGAATAGTTGGAGATTATAGCTCTCAGGGAAACAGTAATTGGGAAGGGTGTTCCACAGGCAAGAGGTGCGAGGTATGAAGCTATTAGAGTAGAAGAGACGGCTACATTTAAAAGTTTCTACAGTGTAAGGGTGGGAGCGAGATGCCAGCCTTGTAGGGCGCTTGAATTCATGGAGTCTGGGAACCAGTGAAAGCAGCTCATCGGAGCAGTTACCATGAAAGTATTTGTAGAAAAGACAGAGAGAGGCGATGACTGTAGATGAGATGCCAGATCAGGCCAATTACATTACATATCCGTCTCTGGATCTTGTCAAGAACTCCAAGGTAAACAGAAGATGCCCCAGACCATATATGGCAGCAATACTCCATGCAAGGGCGAATGGTTGATTGGTATATTTGAAGTATCGATTCCGCAGAGAAAAATTTCCTGGCACGGCACAGAGAGACAACTTTCCTCGCGGTGGAAGAAGCAATTGACTCAATGTATTTGTTCCATCTCAGGTCAGCAGTCAACGTGAGACCAAGCAGGCGCAGGGAGTTGCTCTCAAGAAGTTGACTATCAGACATTCTAATGGGGGGCAGGGAAGGATCTCTATGGTGATTAATAGAGAGTAGTTTAGTTTTTGAGGCGTTAATTTGCCCCAATTAACAACTGATTGGAGGTACATGTCTATCATATAGGTCTACACAAACTTCACACACATTAACACACATTTTAATTTAAATGATTTATGAAACTAGTCTTTAAATGTATTCTTCATTTATTGTAATTGCAATACTTTTTTAATACATGCATTGTTGTTTGTTTTATATTGTTTTGTATTTCTCATTTATTACCTGGACTCACATTCAAGTCTACAGTAATTATTATGGGAAAAATAATACCAGGAGACATGTGTTTTCTATATAAACACAACAAGCATTCCTGCAACAAATTAGGAGATATTTTGAATGCTATTAAGACAAGAATATTTCATTAGAAATGAAGAGTAATGAACTGCTATGTTTTGAAAGAAGCTTTTCTTATTGCCTCTAAAATTATTGTTTATTAGATTTGAATTGATGCTGAGTCATATTTTATAGATTCACTTCAAGAAGATTACTTTGGTTGATGCAGTGGTAAGTCTAATTGGGTCAAGATATGAGCCAATAGAAGTTGATCTTAGTTACAATAATGTCAAAAATTGTGATGCCTAAAATAGAGTGCAAACATAACTGATAACTCTTTTGTAATATTCAAGAAGACACATGTTGGTTACTGGTCAGTATTTGTTTGCTTCTCTTGTAATCAAGAAAGGTCAGTTAGTTAAATCAAAACCAGAATTTGCTTACATGTGAATATCCCTCAGCTACTCTAATAGCCAACAGTATCAAGGAACATGCAAAAAGCTGACATCTGTAAAAAATAAGTGGTCAAACATTCTCATTGGTGGCTTTTATGCTTTCAGACACATGAAAGCAACAAGAAAGCATATTTCTACAACAGATTAGTTTTTGAATTCATGTCTCAGTATCAAGTTCTCTTTCTAGAGAGTTTGATATGACAAAGAGTTAATTTTGATAGCCAATTTTGTAAAAGTTACACTTGGTCATGAAGGTCAATTTTCACTTCTAGAAAAGTCAAGTCTGCCAACAGATGTTTAAAGACTCAATTTTTAAAGGTCGTAGTTTTACATTATTTATTCTTTCACTGGAAAGAATAAATTCTTCAATAACAGCATTGTACTATGTTTTTTGACTAAAAATAAATGTTAGGAGAACATGCTTTTTAGCATATAAGTTTCTATTTATAACTAGCAAAGATGATTGAACAAACTTTTCGCATTAAAATTATTCATTACAAATTAAAAATCCTTCAATTCTGTTGCCAATAAAAACATAATTAAATATTTCTGTTATGATAAAGTCTTGAATTAATTTATTTGGTACAGTGGTTATCATGTATATGTTCTCCTATGTGCCATGTCTCTTAAGGACATAGGTGATTATCTTGTGTGGCTCTTAGGAGTTTTTCTCCCTTTGCTAAGGTTTCTGCACCATCATTCCACCAACTATCACATGACCAACTATCACACAAGCTCATCAGATAAGTGGCTCAATGCCTTCCCTTATCTCTCTCTAGTCTTGGGTATGATGATAAACTACATCTGGCAAAAAGGCCTCTGATTGGGAAATTGGAGATTTTGAAGAGTGATGTTCTCAGGTCCACCCTGATGCAGGGTGGTAGCACCTGTTAGGGTCCAAGCTACTGTGAAACAGTGGACCCCTAAACAAAAACAAAAACACTAGGAAAGTATAAGAATATATTTTTATAATAAAAATACCAATAATACATTTTTATGAAAAATTGCCAACAATACATTTTTGGCAGTGAAATTACCTGCAATACATTTTTATAGCAAAATGACGATCAGTACATTTTATAATAAAATTGAAGACATGGCATACATTGTAAAAAAAAGCAAAAAACAATATGTTATGATTAATATCATTTTTTATAAGGAGAAACAAGTTTTCACTCCTTGTTTGATTTTTTTAAGATTATTTGGTGAAAAATATACAGTATTATATAATTATAATTTAATCATAAAATAATGTTATTCTCTTGAATTAATTATAAAATGTAAATTTTCATATATAGATTTTGGCATTAAATAACCTATACAGGTTGATATAACCACTAAAAACAACAAAACCAAACCTATCTCTCTTACTCTATGTGTGAGTTAAGTTTCTCAATATGTTAATTAGCTTTTGGAATGCTTCTCTCACTAATTCAATGCATGTTTGAATTTCATTGTCACATTTTCCATCCTTCATTAAAAAAACTTCCCAAACATTTGAACCACTACACTTGCTTGATGTTTATATCTCTAATTTATAACTCACATCTTGGGCATTTTCTCTTGCTGATCACCATACTTTCTACCTTCTTGCAGTTGATGATTAATCTTTTATTCTCACTTTCTTCTACCACTCTGTCTAGGAGGGCATGTAGTTTTCTTTCCAAGTCAACCATCAACACAGCGTCATCTGCATTATCCTATATTGCTAAGATTATGCCCACTGATAATAAATCCTGGTAGGATCTAGTTTTATTATAGACTACTAAAATATAGGGATATTTTTTGAATGAATTAAAGCTACTTGTAGAGTGGATTAATCTACTTTAGATGAACAAATTCTTTAATCCTAACATACCATGAAAGCCACCAAAGTTTCTGATACTCCTTGTCCTTTTGCAGCACACTCCTGGGCAATTTCTCGGATAATATTTTTGATTACACTTTCTGCTTGAGTTCCAGCCATTTTCTTCAAAGGCAGAAAACTTTAGGATTTTTGTCAAGTAATAATAAAAAAAAATAACTGGCTGAAAGTAGAAAAAAAGTGAGAATAAGAAACAATGAATATGACAGTTCATCTTTAGCAAACTTGCAAATTTTTATATTAATTATTTCAATGTCCAATGCACAACATCAACAATAGAGTGTATGCAAATATAAAAATAGACATTGAGGTCAACACCAAGCAACGACAGTCTGTTTCATGCTTGAATAAAATCTTCAGATGGGCTGAAGATTGCATTCAAGTATGAAAGAAATTGTTGCTGCTCAGTGTTGAACTCAGTGTATGAAAAGAATAACAACAACATTTTACACATGTACACATATGTACACATACAAACTTACACACACATGCATACACAGATATGTGTATGCACACACAAAGAAGAAAAATTAACCTAACACAAATAAAATCACATAAATTACTTTTGTAACTTAATATAAAAATAATAAAACTGAGAAAATTGACAGATGTTTTCTGATGCCTCTTGACAAGTGGACTGAACAATTATACAAAAGTTTGTCTACAAAGCAGAGGTGGTGAATATAATATCAATCAGCTAAGTGAAAAATTTGATATTTCTATTAATCATATATATATATATATATATAGGTAAAGTTGTGTTTGGTAATCCGTATGGATAATTCCAGGAAGGATATAATCCAGAGAGTTCAATGTAAAAACAAAGCAAATATTAATTATATTAAGAAACTGACAACTTTAAAGATTCATGGTGATTATAATTTATTTCCTTAGAATCGAAATTCAGATTGTAATTCATCAGATCAACATTTTTCATACAAAAAATGTATGAAAATGTTGATCTGAAGAATTCAAATCCATAAGGTAATCCAAGTGGTTCTTTTTAATATAAAATTTTAAAAGATATATCTGTAGAAAGCTCAATGTATAGACTACAGAGCAATATGATATACATCAAGAAAAAGCTTAACACATCATGAAAATATGGATATAAATCATGACTTATTTCAACCAGTAAGTCTCAGCAGACTGAAGATGTAAATGGTATAAATTTACAAACTATGGATCAAATTGTTCAGACAAAAAAAAAAAAAAATTTTAAAAAGGAAGAAAGAATAATAACAGGAAAAGGTAACAGGAAGTCGAGTCATCTGACCTAGAAAAACTATTTTCAGGGTGTTAGAAGCTGTCAACCATTCATAAGTGTGGTGAGAAATATATTAACATAAAACATATATATATATATATATATATATATACACACACACACAAACACACAAAGACATACACATATATAACCACAAATATACATATATGTACATACAAACATATATATGTATATAAAAGGAAGAAGAGAAAATCATGGACAATAAATTGACTGAAAATAAAAGAAATAAAATGATTAAATATGATATAAAAATAAAATCTCTAATATATAAAAATGATACAATATATATATATATATATATATATATATATATATATATATATACATACATACATACCCATATACAATTATACAAATATAATAGGAGGAAATGAAAATAATACAAAAAATTTAACAAAGTTAAATTCAGTATTGGATTTATCTTCATATTTATAGATACCAAATGTACACATATAAACATACACATAACACCTCCCCCATATATATACAAAATCACTTATACATATATCCATATATATATCTATGAATATATATATATATATATATATATATATATAATCACATATTCATCATACATATTCAAACCAATATATTCATACTAGCACAAAGTAAACTCTCTCTCTCACACACACACATATATATATATTTGGACATATTCATACAAACACAAAGCAAACACACACACACGCACACATATATAAGTCCATAAAGTATACACACATAAATGTATAATGCATATGCATATACCCACATATTTCCCTACATATATACATATATATACACATACAATCACATATCCGTATACACACATTCATATACACATATATACATAAAAATATGTAAATATATATAAAAAATACATAAATATATACATATAAAATACATATATGTAAAAAATACATATATAAAAATTATATGTATAAAAATCAGGAATATTATTCTTAATGAAAACATATAATGGCTGCAAATGAACTTAAAATGAAATAAGGTAGAATAAAATTCTATTTATAAGATAATTTAAATTTGTTTTTATGACGACATTTAAATATGATCTCATTCCTTTGATTTAATAGCTGGCTAGTATTTTTAATTTTAACTATTCTAATTTTTTCTTCTAGTCACAAGTTACATCTATTTCTGAAGCTGTTGGATGTTTGAGATTTACCTATAATTTTCCATTCAATCTGTAGGGTGAAATTTCTATTCTTTAATTTCCAGAAGTATTTAGAAAGAGCTGTCTGGTGTTTTAGATTAGGGTCAGAGAAAGAATGTTTGTGATTACATAGTTTCTGCTCCCAGATCCCAACAGAAAATCCTGTGTATACTTTCTTATTTTTTTTATGATTTCTGTAGAATAACAATACAATAAACAACACTTACTGGCGTAAGAGTCCCAGCTAGCATCCAGCTGGCAGACAAAAATAAAGCAGGTTGTAACTTAATGCAAACCCTGCAAACTAACTGAGGAATCAAGCTGGTATTTATATCGAAATACTTCCACTCAGGTACCAGCAGCCAATTACAGCCCAAGCAATGGACTATCCCACTTTAGCATAATGAGATGCTCCATTGCACCATAAATAGCTCTCTTTTGAATTAGTATTCACTCAGCTTTGGAGTGTTGACTGGTTCTTGGAAGTGCGTGTCATTTTTAGACTGCTTTTTGAAGACTGTCTGCCCTCTTGATATTTGTCCCTTACGCTTTGAACGTCATTTTTGTCAAGTTTGTTTTTTTTATTACTGTCTCTTTTTGTGTTCTTACGAAATTGTTTTTTGAAAAAAGATTTTGATTTTTTCTTTTCCATTTTTACCCTCCTCTTTTTTTATATTTATCTACTTTAATTTCTTCTTATTCCTTTTATTTTAGATTTCCCTTTTCGTTTTTCATTTTCTCTAATTTCTCCTTTTTATATCTCCGTTTTTGGTTGTTCCTTAACCCGTGTCTGTGTTTTCGTTTTGACTTACCGTTAAATAATTCTTTTATTCTTTTCTTTTTTCATTTAAGTTTTCCGTTTTTTTTGTATTGTATATTTGTTTATTTAATTGTTCTAACCTTTATTTGCATTCTATTTGTCCATATATTTGTCCTTGTGCTAACGTTTTGTATTGTATAATTTTCTTTTGTTTATTTGTTTTTGGTGTAGGCCATTTTGTAATTTGTAGCTAGCTCTGCCTAGTTTTCATACTTTCGTATTTTCTTTGTTTTTTCTTTTTGTCTAAGTTTTCGTTTGGAGTTTTTTCTTTTTTTTATTCATTGTTTCACGTTAGGGCGATTTTTTTAATTCTTTATATAATATTTATTGTAATGTGTTTTTATTTTGCTTGTTTGTATCACTTTCGGGTGAGCTTTGTGTTTTTATGTGTTATCTTTATTTTTATTATTCCCCACCCCTTTTCCCCATCCCCTTCCTTTTTAATATAAAAATTTATTATAAGAAGAAGAAAAAAAGCACCTTCGTTTTTTAGCCATTAAGAAAAAAACCAAACTTATCTGACTACAGAAAGTCGATAAGAAAACATTTATTTAACCCCACAAAAAAAGATCCACCGGATAAAGACAATCCTAATGAATACCCAGCCCTAGAATCAAGTTCCCCTAGCGAGGATGAAATCGCTGGGAAAAAGGATCAATTACCAACTAAAAGTACGGAGGCCAATAATGGCAGAAAAAAAAGTGAAACTTCTACGGAGGCCAATAATGGCAGTAAAAAAAAAAGTGAAAATTCTACGGAGGCCAATAATGGCAGTAAAAAAAGTGAAAATTTTACGGAGGCCAATAATGGCAGTAAAAGTGAAAATTCCATGGAAGCCAATAATGGCCAAAAAGACCAAAGTGACAGGATAGCCAAAAATGGCTCTCAAGAAAAGACTGAGGCCGGGGAATCGCCCTCTTGTTGGTCGTCCCCACCAAAATGCATTATCAATCTTATGGATTTCTTGGAGCGTGCTAAGAGTTACGCTCACCTTGTCGTAGAAGGTGGACTCTTAGAAGACCCCAAGAATTGAAGAAGATTGAAAAAGAATTGTGTCGGTTTTTGTCGTAGATAGGCGTTCGCAAAAATCTGTCGCTCAAATCGAAAAAACATAGTGTTGAAGTCACTAGAGTCCCTGGGGTTTAAGCCCTTAGAATTGTTAAGGGAGCCAAATTCTTCATGTGGGACGTACTGCTACCCACGCCAGAAGACTGCGTAGCCGCGGCGAGCCGTGAACTGATCACTAAGGATTTGATCCTTAGAACTGAGTACGAAGACCGCAGAAGGACCAGGGTGGCCGCATACGAGGTCCCTCCTCAGGTTATCGGGGAACACATGGCCGCATTCATGTCCCAGTATGGCGAAATTCTGGGCGCCTCCTGTGATAACCTGAACGGGGGGTGGAGCTTCGATATCATGTTAGACGAAAAAAGCCTTCCGCCCATCCCAAACTGTCTGGATTTCGGAGTTTGAAATTACCGTCATTGTGACTGGCAAGACCGGTATGCTGAGGTGTGGAGACTGGTCACCTTTCCTCCTCCTGCCCAGAGAAGAAGGCCTCTGGTAGTCAAGCTCCTGTTGACCAAAATCCCCCTCTGATCTGCCTCCACTTTCCGCCTCGCCTGTAATGGGCGTGCCAGCTTCCGGACCGGTTGGTTAATCCTCCGGTTGGTATTCCATCAAAGACCACATTCCCCAAAGAGCCTTCGCCCGCTGCTAGTGCAGTTGTGGAGAAGGGGAGGGGAATGGCTGGTGGCTGGTAAGGCCAGAGGGAAGCGCCAGACAGCGGGTCCTCAGTCCCCTGAAGCCCCAAGGAAAAAAGGCACATACAGCCCCACTCC